AAAAAAAAAAAAAAAAAAAAAAAAAAAAAAAAAAAAAAAAAAAAAAAAAAAAAAAAAAAAAAAAAAAAAAAAAAAAAAAAAAAAAAAAAGGAAAACTGAAAAAAAGAGAAGCGCCAGAGAATCACCAACACTAAGGAACTAATTTTTTTTTTCGCACATTTCCCCCCTCCTTTCCCTGTCTCTCAACAATCGAACAGTTGACCCTCTCTCCCCTTTCGACCATTTACATATCCGGTGGGGACACCGACTAAATGCACGATGAAGTGTTCGGCGGACCCAAGCGGTTGCCTTTCTGTCCAGACTCCAGCTAGCACGGGGAGCGAAACCTTTCCTGGTTATTGTTGACAGCGGTCCGCCGAACATCCCCAGTCCGAACCAGACTTTCATCAACGCTTAGTCTACGCTACAGTTATGCTTATTCGGGGTCTGGGGGCGGTTCCGAATTTCAAGAAGATCTGACCCAGGGTATGTTCCTTGGAGGCTAGAACTTCCTGGGTTCGCTCCTCGCCGGTTCTTCAGGAGCTCCAGGCGGCAGCCGAGGCCCGCCCAGTCCCTGTTTGTGATTGTTGATTCACTACTGGAACAAGAATTCTTGATCGCGGTTCGGCCGGGGTTCCGTCCACAGAATAGTCCTTCTTCCATTGCATCGTCCGCGCCAGAAGGTGCACAAAAGAAAATCTTAATCCTTCGCTAATCGCGAGTAATAATTATCGACGCCTCAGCTGGTCCGGCTAAGGAGTGCCCGAACAGGGATCCGGGCCTATCGAAGACCCCGAAAAGACCCCGGGAAGCCTTTATCGAAGCGATCAGAAAGCATCAGGAGAGAAGGCCGGGTGATTTGTAAGAAGGCTAGATGATTGCACGAAGTACGGCGACGGGGAGGAGGGGATGGGCCGGAGAGAAAATTTCCTGACTAACTGACAGATCATCTACAGAATCCGAGAGGTCAGACGGGCTAAGACGCCTCTCATCCGCTAATTGCTTCGATGACGGGCTCGCCATTATTATCGATTGATTGACTTATCGTTGCTCCAGGATCAGATATGGTGACTTCCTTTGTCCCTCTTTTCGGCCGAAACTTTTGATTCCATATCCTTTTCCTTCCTCCTGGAAGGGATGAATTTAGGTACAGAGCAAACCATCGCCATTCACCGCCAACCCAGCCCAGATCGAACGTCATCACGCAGCGCTGTACAAACACTCCACACAATGGCTATTGTCATGAATGGGGCATGTGAAATTCCAAATTCTCCATCAAACATGCAGTCGAGATCGCAGGATGCGAAACAGCATCCACTGCACCACACGGGGGGTGGGTGGGCTTGTACCCAGCAGACACTATCACCACCATGAATGCAGCCCAGACGTACTGTACATGCCAGCCGCATCGCCACATCAGCACAGGATTAAGTACGATGTGCAGGAAGTCCGGAGCTGCTCGGCACATGAGCCACACCTCGGTTCATTCTGGCTGGGGACTTGAGGAAAGTCCTACCCGTCGAGTGCTTCGTGGTCCCACTCAGCAACGCGATGACCTGTAACCTACTAGTAACTGATCAGAAGAGGGAAACGACCGGGCTCAACTCTACACGGTATCCAGGATTCTCTCTAAATCCATTTCGTACTAATGAAATCAACCTGTACGCCCCTCACAGTGCTGTGATTTCCGTGTACTCTGGCCTGGTGAGTAGATCAATAAGCCACTAACCCCGAACGGGGATTCCTCGGAAAAGGATTCCAAAAGCTGACCTCGAAGCCACATTCCTTGCTGCTGAGTATACCGCCACCGCCCGAGAGGGGCATTTTGTAGATGGTCAATCTCGCTATGTTTCGAGTCTTGAGCCACCGGGAAGAGAGAGGGAAAAAAAAAAAAAAAAAAAAAAAAAAAAAAAAAAAAAAAAAAAAAAAAAAAAAAAAAAAAAAAAAAAAAAAAAAAAAAAAAAGATAATTCTTTTGTATTTGTACAGAGTAAGAGTATACTGCGCACTTTCTACTGCAAAGATAGATACTCCATAGTAGAAGGATAGTAACAAAGTAGGTAGGTACCTAGGCAAGGGCCATACCCCTCCTAAGCCCAAAAAGAAGAGGAAAACACAAAACGCATGCAGCGAAAGTCACTCCCCCTCACCAAACCAAAAAAGAAAAGAAATAAAACCAAATAAACTAATAAAATAATAAAATAATAAAACCAATTAAACGAAAAGAAAAAAAAAAGTTTCCACAAGAAAAAGTCCAAGAAGTACACCCACCCTAAGTTACTCTCCGTATCTACAAAGTAAATGCAAAGTAAACTTTCAGACTCCTCTTGTCTCTGGATGAATTCCTGGAAATCTACTTCTCACGCAACCTTCCCCACTTTTTTTCTTTCTTTCAACTGCTCTCATTTTCTCCCCCCAAATCCAACCTGCAAGTTATCTGCAAGAACCACCTGGCCAAACTCTAAGTTGCCTTGCAATTTTTTTTACTCTTCCTTTTCTAATATATTCTTCTTCTCTTTTTTATTCTACATTATTTTCTTTTCTTTTTTTTTTCTTTTGCCTTCTCTCTCGGTCTACCTCCGAAGGAAGAAGAAACGATTGATTGAATTAAAAACGGTCTCTCATTTTTCATTGGAGGAATTAGTCTTGCTTGATTTAGCACTAATTAGTTATCATCACCTCCTCAGTAAGTATTTACTAGAATAGACATAAAATGATATCTGCACTGTAACCAAAGTAGGTACCTTCTGTTCCATCGCCAGGAAACCCCATCCAACCGCTTGCAATATCCCATTTTGAATGTACTAGTAGCACTTAGTACTTCCTTACGGTATACGGCAAGGTTGTGGGACGTCCACCTACCGAAAGCGGAACTGAACTTGTTTCAGCCACATTCCGGGGCAAACAAAAACGCCCCATATTCCGATGGCGGTGTGGCGCTGCAAGCAAAGTAGTATCTGTTTAGTAAGAATGTGGCTAATTAGTTGGTGTTTAGTGGACCAAGAGGGGAAAGAAGACAGATTGAGTTTTCTGAAGGATCGGAGGGATCTCGCATTCCTTCTTGGGTAGGGGGAATTTCTGGTGCCCTTACGTTGGAGGGAAAGTGTAATTGTTGGCTTTGCATACCTTTTTATCGATTTGGGGTTTGTGTGGTTAATGGATGTTTATGTTGTAGCCCTGGAAATCTAGACCAAAAGCTATGTTCTTCGATTGTGGATGGTTTTAGGTGGTTATTTTAAAATCTAGTCCTTGAAGATTGCAGATAAGTAGGTAGGTAGGTAGCGACATTCGTGAATTGGTATGAGATCAGATCCCATTCCCGGTGGGAGAAAAGCTACGTTACAAAAGTAGGCTAAGTGAGAAGAGGAAGAAACGCACATAATGAAGCAACAGGCAAGGACGTTTAAGTGTAATAAAATCAAATTCTCACATGAGTGGTGCAATGGTGGGCGAAGAGAAATGTTTAAGAAAAGAAAAGGGGGAGGGATGTAATATGGAAAGGTTTCACAGGACCCGAAACAAAACAGCCCTGTGAAATTGATGTAGTAAGTAGGCAATGCACTGAAGTGTGCATCGAAGGAAGAGACGAACCCAAAAACTCCGGATGACCCCGTCACTCCTTGCTTGGTACAATGTGCAGAGAGAACAAATAGACGAGAGAGAGAGAGGCAGAAAGAGACAAAGCCAAGTAGGTGAAGTCATGAAGTGTATCCCCGTAAGCAAAGTCCAGAGCCAGACTTGAGAGTCAAGAAAACAAAAACACCCCACGCCCAACAATAGTAAGTCGAAAAGAACGCCCCGGGAAATGCCTCGTGAATAAGAAAATCTTTTGGAAATGCATTCGAAACCTCGAGTCCCTTGACAATGTTGCAGGATCAGGTCTCCATCACAGCGTCTCCGTCCGCGTCGGTACCGTTGCGCTCGGCTTTGTCTGCAACGCCGTTCTCGTGCGCCGATAGAGCGGTGTCTTCGGCAGGCACCATAAGCTCAAGCTTCTCCACGTAGGACTTGCGGCTAACCGACTTGGTGAGCTTGGTTTTACCCTCCACACCCTTGCCTTTGGAAGGGGTTACAGGCTCGACATTAGGCGTCTCGGCCGCTTCATTCTCCGGATCCGTAGTGCCATTGGATGTGGGCAGCTCATCCTCACCGACAGCTGGGTTGGCGCTCAGTTCGGGCTCGGTGGATACATGGGTCTGGGACGTCGTATCCGGCCCATCTGCCGGTGTGTTCTCCATATCATCATACGGCTCGTTCTCAATACCATCCGGCTCTGCGCTCGTAGAATCCACCGCAGGGGAGTCGATCAGCTTTGCGCTACGCCCGCGCCGAACACTAGCTGGATTTGCAGAAGGGGTCACGGACGTCAAAACGGATGCTCGTCTGGGAGTGTTACGGCCACTGGTTCGAACAGCGATTGGAGTTCCGCCCGTCTTGGAAGACTTGCTGCCAAACGGTCGGCCAGGACGCTTTTTATGGGATGGTGCTTGCACAGGAGGATAAATCTCAAATCTCCAGGCTGGGACGTCTCCAGCGGGATTGGACTCGGCCGGTGTACTCGAGGTTGCGGATGCCGTAATCGGATGGCGGAAGCCGTTCACTTTAGAGAGCATATCGGTAGAAGGAGGTCCAGCTGGCTCAGTGGGAAGCTGTTCGGAGTCGGCGTCGCCAGTCCCATTCGTGATCGGAGGACCAGAGCCATCCTCCTTAGAGTCGCCAGCATCTGTTGGTGACTGCTGGTCTTCCTCGTTCCCAGACTCCTTCACGTCCTCACTTTCTTCATCCTCCAGACCCTCGCGGGGTGCCACGGCGTGTAACGGGGCGCGATCAAATTGGGATTGGTTACTCCGACCCATGATGTAAGGTGTCCAAACGAGCGCGTCGGGGTTAAGCTGGACATAGCCTTTGCTTTCCCAGCTGGCGATGCACTCTTCGAAATATCTGTAGTCAAGCCGCAAGGCGTAGGTCTTTGTTACCGGGTCTCTGACAAGCGCCCGCAAGGCTTCCAGACCGGACACGATGTCGTCTGCGGTCATACCGGTCCGCTCAGATAGCTCGGTTATACTAAGTGGCGTCCTTTGACTCCGCAACTGGTAGGATAGAATAAGACGCCAGTAGTTCCTATAAGAAACCAGGCCCATATCAGAGAGTGGCTTCTCCGGGGAGCCCGTCTTGCCTTCAATGCGCGTGAGCAAGTACGAGAAGTCAATGAGGAGGTTCCCGTAACCTTTCCGTTGGTGAATAGGGAGTGTAAGAATGCAAGAGACATTGTTCGCCGAACTAGGGCGCTTCTCTTTGCTGAAGTAGCCAACAAAATGGCAGCCCAAATCGTCAAACTCCGTCATGACATAGAACAGGAACGGCTCGACATCATAGTAGAGTGTCTTCGAGCCCAGGAACAACTTGGCGAGCAGGCACAAATTTTGACAGTAAACGGGATTTTTCCGTCCGTCAACTTCGAAAATCGATATGGACCCTTCACGGTAAATCTCATCTCCCGGAGGGTGTTTCGCCGGGCATTTGAGCTTGTGGCGCCACGCGACATAGTCTGAGTTCATGTATTTCAAGCAAAATTCACAAATGTAGAGAATGCGATTGCGACTGTACTCCTCAGGGTATGGTGCAGCGTACCAAGTCTCAATCTCGTAGCCGCCGAAGTTGATGTACTTGATTCTAGATGGGGGTCCGGACACCTTCTGCGACGCATGCTGTACAGTTTCGCCTGTGCTCTCGGCTTCTAGAGCTCGTCGTTGCCACTCTTCCTCCGCTTTTTGGCGGGCCTTTTCGAACCTTTCGCGGTCGAGGTGTGTTGGCAATGTCTTGGAGGTATCCGCATCCGCTTCGGACAGGATGCCCCCGTACGGTTTGCCCTTCAGCTCATCGGTCTCACGGTCGCTAAATGAATAGAATGGTGTGTAATAAGAGGCAGGTGTGATCGGTGCAAAATGAGCCTGTGGCTCGTGAGCGACGGGTGGTGGCTTTGGGGTCCTTCTGCTTCTCATCTGTGACCTGCTGCGAGAATTGAGAATCTTAGAGAGCTTAGACTCGTTGAGGCGAAACGCCATCACAAGACGTTCAAATTGCTTCAACACCACGCGACAGTGCTCTTGCTCGTTCCTACGCGTACGTCGCGAACGAGTCCGTACTGGGGACATGCCATCAACTGTCTCGGCCATCTGCTCGCGGGAGTCCGCACGATCGTAGCGCAACGGGGTCTGGCGTTGCCGTTTGCGAAGCACAGGTGCATGCTCCTCGATCTCAGCAGAGAGGGACATGGTCTTTCTCTTTCGCAGCGACCGAGAGCTATTCAACAGTTCCTCGTTGACAGTGACTGTATTGAAAATTGAATGGAAATCGGAGCCGTCTTCACCCGTATGAGCCGGCAGGAGCTCCTTGCGCATGTTTTTCTGTCTGTTTTTCCGTTGCGGCGCCGCGCCCTCTTCCGCACTAGGCTTCAGCTTCTCGCGGACGCACGTCGGGCACCTCCACGGGTTGGCATCTGAACGAGTCAGCTCAAGGGCCCCCTCGGACTTTCTAGCGACAATTTGTTTCAAGAAGCAACGTACCTTCTGCATCTCCTAGTGCGTTTTGCTCGCGGGCACACTGCCGATGAGCTGCCGGGTTGCCGAGTCAGTAATGATCGCCCAATATCCGGGGAAATTATAGTTTGGATGGGGCCGCAACCCAACGTACAATGATCGCCGCAAACTGCGCATGTCAAATATTCCTCGAACTCCTCACTCGGGTCATTATCTTCATCTTGTCCACAAAATCTATCGATCCAGTCGTCAGCCTAGATTCCATGGGTATATTGTCGAACAAGGCATGGGCCAAGTCCCCACTCACATGCAGTTTCCGCGGACCGTTGTCTCCGCCTCCGCATCCTCCTGGTCATTGCTTTCGCCTTCCCACTCCTCATCGGACTCCTGACTGCTCGACGAAGAACGGTGCGCTTCCTGGTCGCTATCACTCTGGTTTTCGAACGCCGGATCTGCCTCCGCGTCAGCGGCCTCCGAAGCTGCGTCCTCGTCGTCGGCAGACTGGCCATTCTGAGGCACCTTGACTGCGCCAACCGGCTCGGTATCGTTCTGATCTCCGACCAGACTCATCTCGTTATCTGGCTCCCCTTCTGCGTCCTGATCCTCCCCGAGGTCGCCAGTCGCAGCATCGTCCGCAGCCTCTCCGGTGAAAGCGCGGTGCGCGGCATCCTGAAGCTGCTGATCCATCTGATACAGGTCCGTTTCCTCCTCCCCCTCCGCGTCCTGGTCACTGTCCACCATATCCGCCGGGGTCTTCGACCCGGGGTCGTTGGCCAGCGGTACGATAGCCGGCATAGTGTATGTCACGGTGGTCGCCAGGGCTGTCACAATAGTCGCCAGATAATGATTCGGGGATTTGAAATACAACGCAAGCCCAAGAGTTGAGGCTATTCAGGCTCCCCGCGAAAGTAGACGATCATCTGGTGCCGCGTGAAACGGGCATCGGGAAGCATAGAACGAATTGCCTGGGGCGCCACAGCTCTGAAGACCACGCACTGTAAAAGGGGAATCCACACAAGATAGAAAGTTCGATTCCCTACAGCAAGCGCATGCTTTCCAAGCAAGGTCAGTGAGGAGTAGGTAGCAGCAGCGGGAAGCGGACAATGGCAAGCAACACGTGTAGCAACAGGGCGGAAAACGTACCGTTCCCACGAAAAGAGCAGATACTCCGGATCAAGCAGAAGTAGACGCGTGTAACAGCCAGGGAAACGCCGTCTCAAGTCTACTTGCGCAATCAACGCAATCGACGGCGGCCTCTTTGCCCCTTCTCCTGCCTGTGAGGTTGACGGCCGTGCTGACTCAGCCGTCCCGCCTAAACCGCTTTGGGCCAACCTCCAGACCTCGTCGACGAACGGCGGATTCCCGCGGCCACACCAGCTTCACCTTTCCCCTCGCTGCTACTCCAATTGAGCCTTGTGCATTGCTCTATTCCTGTCTCTTCGACTCCTATCGTCATCATGGGTGTCCCCTTCGAGGCTCTCCTTCCCTTCGGCATCATCATCGGAGTACGTTCAGCGACCATTTCCTCTCCCCATTTGTTTTCGACGTGGTAAGTACTGACCAATGCGTGACACAGTCGTTCACTGTCGGCGGTGCCGGCTTGTGGGCTATCCGGAGATGGGACAACGAGGGCAAGATGCCGCGGTGGAACAAGGATAAGTGGGATAGAGTAAGTGAACCTGCCACTTACCCGATGCGACCGGGATCAGACGTACTAACTCTTTTACAGCAAAGTATGTTATAACCTCGATTGATGTCGTGCAACATCAAATTAGAGATCCCCTATTTCCAATCTTGAAAGAGAAACAGCGAGCTAACTCTCGACACCCCCCGCCTACCAGTGATGGAGAGAGACCTGAGAATCACGGGCACGAAACGAGGACAATCGAGCAACCCGGAAGCTCCCAAGGGATTCGAGCTCAGCAACCCCTGGAAGGTACGGACCAGCACAATCAGCAGCAGTGAGCGAAGCAAAATACTGAACCATGGCAGATCGAGAAACGGATTTTCTAGACAGCATGGGTTGTCACACGTCATGTCATTATTCCCGCCTGTTCCTTATTTATTCGGCCGCATTACTTTCGAGAGAAATATCCACGCAATGAAAGATTGTTTGTATCATACTATAAAAGATATCTGGCCGGCTCTGGGTACACCGCCAGGTAGATTCTATCTTAGCCTTTGTTTCCAAACCGACATCTATTTGATCTCAGATACAAAACCGCGGATAGCCTCCGCTTCATAATCGCGAAGATGCATATCAAACCATTTCGCCAGGGCTTTGACGCGATCTGCATCGCTTTCCAGCGTCTCTAGAACCTCCGACTGTCCAAACTGTCTCTTTTTCACCTCCCGCCCAGCAAGAATATACATCCCCTGCACTTCACTCTCCGCCTCATCCATGAACATCCTAGCACAAACCAGCGACTGCGTGAACCAGCTCGTAGGCCGCTGACTCGTCGCATAGTTCATGATCTCGAAATCCTGCGGCAGGAACTCCGTTCCCAGGAATGAGTACATGGGAATCCACCTACTGTCAGGCGTATACCTGATCTGATAGATCCAGACCTTTTGCGTCTGGTCCACGTACTCAGGCAGGGCCTCATGAACGAGACGCATCTCCGTCGGAGCCATGCAGATCGAAACGGAATCCTCTTTGAGCGGCAAAGGCCGGGTAGGCCCATTACCCCCGAAGCCGACGTCCACCTGCATATACCATTAGCTTCGTAGTCACTACCGCGTAGGATACCTAGATACATACCGCGTACTTCTCCCCATCAATCAGCACAATCAGCACCATATGCGACCTATACATCATTAATATACTTATACCAGCCAAACCCAACCCTTCCATTTCCATCTCCATGGAGAATACTACTAGTATAGGAAAATAACTTACATCCCCGTATACAACTTCTCCAACCCCTCCTCCGCCCGCCCCGTCGCAGCCAAACACACTCTCCCACCCGTAGCATAGACAACATACCCCAGAGACTTCAATATCCCATGAAGCAGGGTATTATTCTCCATGCAGTAGCCATCCAACTTGCGCGTGACCAGCTTTTCAAACACGCATGCAGGACGAATATCGATGGTCCGGTGATTGGAGTAATGCAGGGCTGAGTTTCCCCAGGGAATGAAAGTAAGATGGCGCCGTTGGATCTCGAATAGGGTACCGAGGGGGTCGTTCTTCACGGCTTGTTGTAGTTGTTCTAGTCTGCTGGTGTTGGAGCCGTAGTGGATCCGCTCAAGGTAGAGGGTGAGTTGGTCGGGGGTGTAGGTATTTGATGCCATATTGGATATAATATACACGAATTTACTATGAGTGTATGTATGTGGCTCAATCCAAGAAGAGAGTAAATGAAAGGTGTATTCTGGTGATATCAGGAACTGAAATGTGGCCAAGCCAGCTGTCAGGGACTTTACGGAGATCCGGCGGCATTTTTGTGGACGGGGAGTTTTACCCCAGGAACTAAACTAAAGCAGATACTATTTGATAATTAATTGGAGGAGACTGACTCGACTGGATCCGATGGTTCCCCCACATCTATCCATGTTCGGGAGTGGCATTGTCAGGGACGATCCGAGGGGAGAAAGATGGTATTTATCTATGGAATTAAAGTACCACAATATGATATCGGGTGAATGGGGAAGAGAGGAGCGGAGTTTAGCAGACGGGATGCATACTGATCCGGTCGAATGGATGGGAGTTAAGTATCTATCTTGTGCGACTATTACACAGTAGGATGTTGTGACTACTTAAGAGATCTGCTCGACACATGATGTCAATGCAGTGATCCTCGGTTATGCAAGAAGGATTCTTTGCAGCTTATCTGATCGGATTTCACGGTTCGTATATACTCTTATCCATGCCCCTCATATATGAATCTGCTACCTTATACTTCGCCTACTACATACTACTATCTACTCATTCAATCCGTTGCAGCCACCATGTCGACCCTCGAAGAAAAGATCTCCCTCTTACACAACTACTCCGCCTGCGATGTACATCCCCTTAACCATATTTAACCCATCAAACACTACTAACTCAGGAAAACCAGGTCTCCGACGCCCTCCTCAAACTCCAATCCGTCCCCTCAAACACCCCGCCCCGAGCAGGCTACATCGCAGACCTAAGTATACACCCATCGTCAACCACCACCGCTACCAAATTACTAACAACCCATCTACTAAAATCCACAGGCCCCTACCCCCCAAACACCACCACACCCACCAAACTAATCGCCCCCGCCAGCACCCTTCAATTCATCCCCAAATCCAACCCCACCCCCACCAGCAGCAGCATCCCACCCTCCACGCACTGGTCCGACCTCACCACCCCAAACACCATACTTGTCATCTCTCAACCCCCAGACCAGCACTGCGCCGTAGTCGGAGGCATCATGGCCCTTCGGATGAAAGTTCGGGGCGTGCTCGGCGTGGTGGTTGACGGAAGAGTGCGCGATCGCGCGGAGCTCAAGGCCTCTGGATTGGGGATCTGGGCGAGGGGAGGCTCGACGGTGGGGAGTGGGGCCGAGGCGAAGCCCGGCGAGATGGGTGGGGAGGTGTGTGTTTCGGGGGTTACTGTACGGGAGGTATGTCTTTTCTTTCTTTCTTTTTGTTGTAAGTGTTTGAGAATTGGGTTGGGTTGGCTAATGTGTGTGCAGGGAGACATCATCTTCTGCGATTACGAGGAAGGCGGGGTGGTGGCTATACCTCGGGACTTGCTGGATCGGGTTCTCGAGCTGATGCCGAAGTTGGTGGGGATGGATGATAAGGTCAAGGAGGCGGTGGAGGGGGGAATGAGTGTGTTTGAGGCGTTTGGGAAGTTTAGGGGGAAGATCTAAGTCTATAGGGGTGGACCGGTGTTGAAGGTACAGTAAGTAATGCTCGGTAGGTTCAATTTGTAAGGCTAATCTTCTGCAGTATGGTATATAAAGTGGTGTGAAGACCAGCTTGGGATATACGAAAATTAGATACATCGCTAGAGATAAGAAAAACAAATCATCAATCTAAGTTACAGCCTTTTACTTTACTCCGCAACCCAAACGGCTGCCATACCCATACCCGTTCCGACGCACATGCTGCTAACACCAATCTTCTTGTTCGTCCGCTTCAGCTCCGTCAGCAGCGTGCTGATCTGGCGCGAACCCGTGCAGCCGAGCGGGTGTCCAAAGGCAATCGCACCACCCTTGGGATTGATCTTCTCCTGCGGCAGACCCAGCTCGTTGATGCACCAGACGCACTGCGAGGCAAACGCTTCGTTGATCTCATAGATGTCCACGTCGTCCTTGGTGATGCCGGCCTTCTCCAAGGCCACGGGGATGGCCTTCCACGGGCCGATACCCATGAGCAGAGGCTTGACACCGACGACACTAGCAGCGACGTACTTGCCGATGATCTTCTGTCCCAGGCGCTCGGCCGTGGAACGCTTCATCAGCAGCACGGCGGCAGCACCGTCGGAGATCTGGGAGGCGTTTCCGGCGTGGATGGATCCGTCCTTGGCGAATGCAGGTCGGATCTTGCCCAGCGACTCGGGGGTAATGCCGTCGCGGATGCCGTCGTCGGCCTTGACGGTGATGGTCTTCTCTTCGCCGGACTTAGGGTCCGTCCACTTGACCTGCAGAGGGATGATCTCTTCGTTGAAGAGACCGGCCTTCTGGGCCTTGACGGCCTTCTGGTACGACGAGGCGGCGAAGGCGTCCTGGGCTGCACGAGTGACGTTGCGATCCTTGGCCATCTGCTCGGACAGAACACCCATGGGAACCTTGCAGTTGGCCGACTCGGGGTGGGCCTCGAGAAGCTCGGAGAACTCGGTCACGGCACCGGGGCTGACGATGCTCGTCAGCTTACATATCATAGAGGGGTGAAGGGAGCAGAAACTTACCCGTATTGAGACGACATGCTCTCGACACCAGCACCAATACCAACATCGATCATGCCCGATTTCAGGGCATTGGCAATGTCCACAATCGCCTGGAGACCGCTAGAGCACTGACGGTTCAAACTCTTAACGGCAGTAGACTCAGGGAAGCCCGCCACCAGGGCGGCAGCACGGAATTCCGTCGCACCACCACCAGGGGGAAGGACGGAGCCGACAGCGATGTCGTTAACCTGACTGGGGTCGATGCCGCTGCGGTCGATAACCCCCTTGAAGACACCAGCCAGCAAGTCGGCGGCAGCGGTGTCCTTGAAACCACCCTTTCCACCCTTTGTAAGAGCCGTACGCAGAGCGCAGGTCACGACGATATCATCGGGGTGCTTCTCCGTGATGGCGGAGACTCCCTTCTTGCCACCAGGGCCGAAGTGGGAGGCCACTTGGGAAAGACGCTGCTGGGCTAGGAAAGTGTGGCCGTTAGTTTAGAACCCTTTTGAGAACCGACAAAGGCTACTGTAGACTTACCGGAAGACATAATGACGTCAACGGAGACTCGAAGAAGTAGAAGAGAGATGCGCCAGTGATATCTCCAGTAGAAAAGGGGAAAATAGTTTAAAGGGGTCTGAAGCTACAAAGAACCGGACTCCTGGTCTTATAAGAATCTGGGGCAACGTGGAGTAAAGCCGGTCACTTGCAATCAAACCGGCTGGCTGCTCAGCTCTGCTACAATGAACCGAGGCTTATGCGCATCATCGTTGTTCCGCGGAGGCGGGTCACGGGATGTCGGTCCACGAGGCAGCGGTTTCATGTGAAAAAGCAATGCACCAGAACGGCTGATGCTCAGGCGGTTGCATGTGCTGCTTTTTTGGGAGGTGATGCGTACTGGTACGTCATGCGATCAGCAGAACCAAAGATGAGAGGCAAACATGGTCTGGTACTGTTCTGCAGTGCAGTGATTAGTGATCTTGATGCATCCGTAGTGTCACATGTTTGCTACTATGAAATTGGTTTCAGAGCCTAATATATATATATATATATATATCGTCTTATAGTAGTACTTACCTTAGATCGTCCTAAAGTCGCCCAACATTTCTCATCCTTATGCAATGTAACAAATATATAACAGATAGTATTTGATCGAAAACCCAAAACTCCATCCTTCTCTCTCCTACGTAGTTCATAGCACTAAGTACTAAGTACTAGTAAGCCATTCAAACCAAGATGCCACTCCACGAACCAATCACCACCGAGCGGAAACCAACCTACGCCATCGGGCTAGTCTCTCCGCGGGCGGAATCCCACCCGACAACTTTTCCTCCGCAATTCAAGATCACTCCATCGATCTTCTTCTATATCATCCTCAACCTCCAATCCACCACCAGCTAACAGACACACTCAAACCAATGACCTCGACCTTCCTTCTCCCCCGGCGCCTCGCCGCGCTCACACTATCAAAGCCCCTATTCCCAACACCACAAGCAACAACAGCAGCAGCAGCTACCCGCGCCCTCCCAACATACCTTCACCACAAGCACAACGCCACTCAAATACAACAGGTACAATTCCCAAACCCAAACCAAAAAACATACACTCTAGTACCAGCAACTCAATCTAACAAATGCAAACAAAATCTAGACCCGCCCCCTCTCCCACACCCCGCACCACCTCTCTTCCCCCTTCCGCCTCACCACCAACAATCCCAACACATACACTCCCGAAGATGCCGAAGGCGAATACTACAGCCCCTACAAACCGAAACGCCAATGGCCACCGGACATGTCGAAGCTCTCTCCGAAGCACCAGTTCCGTTTAGAACGGAAGTACCGGCGTCGCGCGGCGCTGAAATACGCTCGGCCGAAGTGGGTTAAAGCGACCAAGATTACTCAGTGGGTAGTTATTGGGTGTATGTACTATCTATCCCCGCTGATATTGTGTTTGGTTTGGAGATGGCGGCGAATCGCACGTGTGGCGTGACATTGCTTGCTAGGTTGGGAAGGCTAACGTACATGATGGGATTTAGTCGTTCTGGTGTATGCGTTGCTCTTCATGGAGTGGGATGAGCGCGGGAGTCCGTTTGATGAGGTGAGTGATATCTATCTATCTGTTGAGTATGGTTGAGGCAGGTGAGCTTACTGTGGTTAGATTCGACGGACGTTTTTTGCTGGTGTCAAGGGTGCTTTCTCGACGCCGCCGCCTCCTCGTCCGGTGAAGAGGTCGGAGGATGAGTCGGGTGCACAATAAATAACTAACAAGCCAAGCCAGGTCCTGGAGGGTTTTACAGCTGGATATCATCAGACTAGACCATTTCGTTCAATCTACACTGTATAGTATCCTATCCTGTACAACTATCATATGATTTGAATATAATGACAGCGAAGCTTAAGCCGCTCATGTTGACAATAGTAGAAAACTAAGCATAATCCACCTCGGTCATGTCGTGCCTGCTATAACGCATCTGTCCAAGAAAAAGAATGATCGGCCTGACATGCAATCAAAGAACGTCAAATATCGTCAGGTCTGTGGCCCTATGCCGTCATGAGTCGTTTCGCCGTGGCCGTCAAGTGACGGTGAGATGCACCCAAACACCGCAGAAATGCCAACGCCGTCCAATCCCAATTCTCCAAAGTCACAATGATGAACAACTAACAGACAAGGTAACAACAACAAGTCAAAAAAGATAAAAGCTGTCATAATGCCGTGTCAATGTCGCCGATTAGTGGAGACATGATGACCGGTCCGCGCAGCAATAGACTCATGTCTAGAGCCAATTCCCAAGGCCACTGTTGCCTTGGGCCCCGCCACGACCAGCAGGGACATCCAGCGCAAGTTCCAGCTTGGGAGGCTGTTCGTCCAAGACACCCTTTCTGGGGCTTCCAGCTGCTGCTTTGATCGCGGTTTTGCTCGGCGACCCAGGCTCCGGCCGCGGAGGACCTTCGCGGACCGATGTGTATGGCCATCCGTCAGCTACAGCTGCAGCAACCCATGTCTTTAGGCAATCGTGCACGGAGGAATAAAACTTCTCCTTGCATGTTCGCAAACTACCGCCCATGACCTTCTCGAATCCCGAGGCTCGAAATTCTTCTCGAAGCTGGTTACGTTCTTCGCTCGTTGGCAACGACGCCACCAGGCCATTCATGAGGTCCAGGTGCGCAGCCAAGTAGTTGGTCGCATCCCATTCCACGCCACCAACATATGGAGCGGCGGGAACTGGAGGCCTAGGGGCAGGGAAATGACGTTCTCGGTAGCTCACACCCGGTTTATCGTCTTTCAAGATCGGGATCACGTTGAGATGATGCAGGAAGATCCAGAAAACTTCCTTGGTCACATTGGTAACCTCCTTGCACCAGACTCGGTAGGGGCGTGACTGATATATGTTTGCGATAAAACTCAGAGGCTGACTGTCCTCCGGGGGAGACGGGTCGCGCAGGTAGGATAAGATGCGTGAAGCCCGGCTGGCAGCCATCTCGTCGGATGATACAGCAGAGAGCTGAGTAAACAGGAGATTGATGATAATCCCACGGGTTGTGTACTCGCTTGGGCCCTTCTTCTCTTCGTCAAATAACATTCGCAGCAATGCGGGGAAAAGCTCGCCCTCGATGTTGGTGAGATGCTGCAGAGCGATGGATGTTGTACAAAGAGCTTTCAAGCATAACAAGGTTTCGTGAAGCAGGGTATCTTCATGCTCTTCCCTATCCAATTTATGAGCTCCGGTTTCCCAAATCGGAGAATACGTATAACTTACCTCCATTCAACCTTCATAATCCTGTAAAGCAGTTGCACCACCTCATCCATACCACCGTCCGCAATGAACGTGTCAACCCAGCTGACAGTTTCATTCCGGAGGAGGATGCGAAGCTTGTGCATTTTCCCAACCTCGACCATTTCTGGCTTCTGGATTTCTCTCAGATAATGCACAAAGTCCGACGGGTCAGCTGCAGTATCACAAGCTGTGGCAGAGAGTGAGGTAGTGGAAGCTGACGGGGTTCCGAGCCTGGAGAATCCTGTGGGCTGTGAATAGTCGGCGGATTTGGGACGCCTATAGAAACTCCCGCTGTCGGGGCGCTGCTTCTTAGGCGAAGAGCTGCCTTTGGAGAATGAGAAGCCGCGACTGCGGGATCGCGAGCGAGATCCTTTGCTGTCTTGGCCATGGCGGTCCTCCTTTGGCTCCTTCTTGCGCCCCCGACGACCGGTACTATCGGTACCACTAGCACCAGTGCTGTGCGGCGCAGTATTTTCGGCTCGATCCTTCATAATGAAGTCTGCTTTTATGTTGGTATCCAGAGACCTCATCTTGTCTCGCATGTTATGAGGAATATTCCTAGCATCCTGTCTCGTCATTAGTCTAGGCTCTGGGTGTTCGACGAGAGTAGTTCGGGATTACTAACCAGTAGCTTTTCGAACTCGCTCTCAAGCTCCTTGCCGGTCAAGCGTTTCTGCAGTTCAGCCTCCTGCTCTTTTGCATTAAATGCTGATATTGCCGCTTGGACGCGAGAGAGTCGTTTCGGGCTTGCTTCGGGCCTGGATTCCGCTGGGGGATGGTATTCCGGGCGTGAGAGTGCCCTGGGCCTTCCGTGTTTCTTGGGCGAGGCAGGTTCTGGCTGGTTACCCGAAGCCAGCTGGTTCGCCGTCATGCCATCTATAGGATCCATCAGTTCTTTCACCTTGCGATTTCCCGCGAGGTAGTCCGATTTTGGACGTGGCTTTGGATCCCCGCGGGCTCTGAGAGAGGGTCCATCGTAATCATAGAAGTTTCGCTGAAGAGTGGGTCCATACTCCCTAGGGGTGTAGAGAGAAACCTCCTCCTGTAGAGTCCTACGCTTGTGCTGGGAACTGGTAACCTCAGGTTGGTTGTAGTACGGCGGCGTTGGGTAGTGGTTCCACATTGGAGAGGGCATGCTATCGACAGGGTCCGATGGGCTGCGGTTCTCTTTGTCCCGAGTGCTCTTCGAGTTTTCTCCTTTCCTTCCGCGTTGGGATCGTTTCAAGATAGCCGTGAGACTGTTGGCCGACTTTGCTTTCTTCGGCTTCAGATTCGCTGCTTCGTCATCTGGCGTCTCATCCGACTTGTCCTTGCGTTCCATATAGCTCTTGAGAGATTTCAGTGAGACGGCGCTTTTTGTTTTCTTGTGTAGAGTGTGTTTCCCTTGCTTTCCAGGTGATCTCTGGGTTGAACTAACGTCTGCTGTATCCCGGTTGAGGGCTATTTCTGCCAGTGGCTGTTCCGCAGGGTTGTAAGGTCCATCGACTGGGGGCGCATATGGGCTGCCACTAGGCTGGCCTTTATCAACGACTCTAGGGGCGAGGACATCATCTGCAGATGAAGTCCGTTTGTGGGTCTTGGATGACCAGATTGCTCGCAGGACGGATGGCTTGGTAGGACCACGGGAGGAATCGTCAAAGATGCTCGGGGGCTGTATGCTGGGAGCCATGTCTTATCGCCTTTGGCCCGAAACTGATTAGGAAGCCACAGACTGTGTTAGCAGATGAGGACAGCCATCAGAGGAAGGTTATGGAACGGGTAGGCGCAGGCGACTCACGGTGAAAGTTGCTCCCGCGTAAAGATAGATCGAACACCAGCGAAGGATACGAAAGTAGCGGAAAATTCTATGCAAAGCAGGATAACGAGGACATGCAAGAGTAAAATACCGACGACATTGATGAACGTCAATTAGGAGAAGGAAATGAGGTTAAAGAACTGTAACTAAGGAAGAGAAGAGAAGACACCGGTGCGAAGGAACAGGAGACACAGCAGCAACAGCAAACACCAAAGAGTCAACCTCAGGTGGGTAGACCGGGAATTTGAAGCCCTTCAAAGGTCTAAGACGGGCAGGAGCCGTAAGCATTCCCCCACTGCATAGCCTAGTCTGCCAACGCCGTTGCCAAACGGCTGGAGATGGGTGCACCGCAGTGAAGCGGAGGGTGTAAACACTGTGCGGGCAGGGAGGTTGCTGGGGGCAACCGCGCCTCCGGTCGCGCCGGAGAGTGCATCACCCCGTCATGATCGTCTATCTATCAATCGGGCAGTTAATTGATCGGGCAATCATATCACTTCCATCATCCTCCGTGTCCAGCCCGCCCAAAGAACATCCGATCGCCCGTCATCGTGAGCTGGACCCCGTCGCGATGAAAATTGGGGTCGATGTCATAGTGGAGGAATACCCGGCATGGAACCGGCTATTGAATGGACCATCACAATCTACCTGCGTCGGAGTGGGCGAGAGGTCATATAGTTATATTCATTGACAACCAGGAATATGGACAGTATAGCAGTCCAACTATTATGCTGTCATCATTATGACCGGTAGGAATAGATGGGTTTATTGTTCCTCTTCTCTTGCTCATAGTACTTAGTGTCCACTGTCGAACTCGTGAGATCTGATGGTGTACCGAATCGGGACTAGTCCGGCGCATGATATAGTAAGTAGTTACTACCAGTCTAGCCTATTAACTACCTCTATGCTCTCTCTGTTTCGTCATGCTCTCCTTGTCACTCAATATCTGTTTGGATGTATACAATATCCGATTCCTCTATTATTTATTCTTTTCAAGCTTTGATCAGTGAAACCCCTTCATTCGGCTATTGATTGGGTCGTCCGCATGCAGATCTCAGAAGCTCTGGCTCGATACCAAACGATCTAAATAATAGGCAAGGGATGAAGATTGTCCCCATATCTTACACGAACTTAAAGAAGATAACCTCCTCACTGCTCTAGGTAGTCATATTATGGTCTATGACACAGAGTCTCTGGCATCGGAACCGCCTCTCGAGTCTGACAAGAGCAACATCAAAAAAGGGGATATCACTCGGAAGAACTGAAACAATTTGTGTGACCTGTGGTAGCTGGAATGCAACCTCTTAGGTTTAACTAAAGATCACTACCTCACAGTAATCAGATGATAATCAAGTGATTGGTCCCATACGGGGAAAAGGACCAGGATTTCCAAACGATATCTGAAATCCGTGAGACGTTCAGGACACACAATGTTGGTGATCTTTTGCTTAATGCTACACAATGTATACAGGATGCTTGATGCAAATGGTATTGAAGACTCAACCTTTCAAGCAGTCACTAAAGGTCCTGTACTATTTTCAGAGGTTACTTGTTCAGGTTAGTCTACAACAGAGAATAACCACACCACAGGTCTACAGCCGGACGTAGTTCTAACTGAAATCTTCATGCATATACTGTATCTAGAGAACCGTAATGGTGCCATGGATATTGTCGGGAGACCTGTGTTGGTTGTCAACTTTATTGTACCGATATTTAGAGTATCAAAGAAGCCTAGCATTGATCAAAGATCTGAGTTCATTGGCCTCAAGGCTACATCAGTAGAGCAGTAGAACCATAATTTTCTAAGCTATAAGCTGTCTTCAATTTAGACATACCAACATAACAGCCAGTTGTATCAGCGCATTCCATCTGGTTTAGGCTGAAGACGCCTGAATATAGGGGAATCAGACGAGTTCCTCAATGTCGAACACAGATGATTTGGAGACTAGCATTCGTCTTGGGTAGCTTTCGAGTACCTGGTACATGGAAAGGTCTTTTGTGAAACTGTGACTGCCCATCTAGTCAACTTGACCAGGGCAATAGTCTTCGTGCACTGGGAATTAATTGGGGGAGCTCTTGCAATAAATAGCCATCGGAAGGATCACCACTGGAGTAGGGTCTTGGAGAGTGCGTCTTTTTCTGATTGCCATTACGCGTTCTTTGACCCGCAATCGGTATACCAAGAAATTGTTCGGAGACCACATAATATGCTGGCCGAGGCATCTTGTCCTCTATCTTGTGAATTCGATAACATGGCTTTGGGAAGAAACCTCTGGAGCCGCTCTAGCATAGAATTCAGACACTTGGCTCAAGGGTTGGCGAATCCATCAAACCCAGTTGCGCGATTAAAGTGATTTGAAATGGTGTTTTCCACGATGTAGTACTCCGAAGCCACAACGGTCCGGTTCCATTTGCATGAATGGTCCGATATCGAACAAAGATCTTGGTCCCATTGATTGCCGACACGGCAGCAGCCGCACGGAAACACCAGAATCTCGGAGTTCCAGACTGCGGCCCTACCTGTAATTCTACAACCCAATATGGCCATTATCATCAAGTGAATGATGCCGTTGTGTACTATGAAGACGCCGATTTAGGCGCTTAAATCCCATAGAACTTGTCGAATCAGAGGGAAGATAAGGCAAGCAGATCGATCAGCTGCAGCAAGGGAGGACAAGGCGCATCACGGGATTACAAGGATTCCATAACTTGGCTGCCAAACCACCTCGATCTTCTATCATATGTTCATCTTCTGTGCTCATTGAGCCTTTCTTTCTGGTTACCCATGGGGTATCCATGCAAAGTCCGTTTTTCGCTGAAAATTAATGTCTCACCGAATCTACGAGAACACAATGTTGCCTAAAACTGTTGTTTTTAGTCGGTCTGGGCGCGGCCCAGTTGGCCACACTTCACCGCGAACAGCCTCAACCGCATGCCGTCAGGCTACCAAAATTCTGGATCTCCCCCTTCTCTTCCCTCTCCTGCTTCCGACTGGAGTGAAAGTCACTGATTTCATCTTTTGGATCCATCTTCCATCGTAACAACTGCATTTGAACACATAGCAGTCGATCTATCTATTTCCTCCGGCTCTCTTCCCTGTTCCGCAGTGGACGTGTCTACAGCGACTACCGCAATCGGGCAGTTTCGGGCAGGCTTCCCCGCAGGGTCCTTGACTCCTAGACTGACGTCCCGAAGTGGCGTTGCCTAAATACTCCGATCTCGTGGCTATCGGAATAGCTGCAATTGCTAGTATTTTAAATCGTGTCACTGAAGAGCTTCTCAGCCCGCCATGAATTGTCCTTCGCGCACCGATGACACCCTCGAGCACCCGGGATGGAACCAGAATCCGCCGGCGCTGAATGCCGACATTACCACTCGCAGCGATTTCAACGGCATTGCGAACTCGAAGGTGCATCGGAGACATGCAGGCGGTATGGGAGGGGCTGCAGCTGAAGGTATTGCGGCGATGGATCATAGACCAAATAGTCTAGATGGAAACGAGCCCGAGATGGAGAAGAAGACACCCGGCGAAGTGATTGCTGCCGCTCCTGGGGACCAATCACCCAGGACGAGCAGCGAATCACCTCGCCGTCCTTTCAAAAAATCAACTATATCTTTCTTTCTCCGTCTTGCTCAAAGTATCAAGAAGTTTGGTCGCTTCGTGGGCCCTGGATTCCTGATCGCGGTAGCCTACATTGATCCGGGAAACTACTCCACCGATGTCGCCGCAGGCGCAGAGTTTCGCTATGCTTTGCTCTTCATCGTCCTAGTGTCCAACCTTTTTGCTATTTTTCTACAGTCGCTGTGTATTAAACTCGGCACAGTGACAGGGCTCAATCTGGCGGAAAACTGCAGGGAGCATCTGCCCAAGTGGTTGAACTACATCCTGTATGTTTTTGCGGAGGCTGCCATCGTGGCAACCGATATCGCAGAGGTACGCAGCCAATGTTTCCCCTCCCTGTTTTCTGACGCTGGTGCTAAGCTGGTTTCCTAGGTTGTCGGGTCTGCGATTTCGCTCAACCTTCTCCTGAAAATCCCTCTGGTGGCTGGATGCGCAATCACATTAGCCGATGTTCTCTTCATCCTGATATTCTACAGACCGAATGGCGCTATGTGGGGATTGCGTCTATTCGAGTTCTTCGTCATGATGTTGGTTTTGGGAGTTGTCATATGCTTTTGCATCCAGCTTGCCCTTATCAAAGAACAGTCGGTCGGAGCTGTTTTCCGGGGCTACTTGCCTTCGTCTGCCATAGTGCAGTCCAATGGGTGAGTAGCCCGATGTGTATATGACTGGAAACACTGAGTTTGCTAATATACTGTTTTCCAGTCTGTATCAAAGCTGTGGTATCCTCGGTGCTACAGTGATGCCTCACTCCATGTTTCTTGGCAGCGGAGTTGTCCAATCGCGACTGAAGGAATTCGATGTTACCCAAGGCTACGTCGATCCCTCCGTCTGCCTTGGAAGCACCAACGGAGAAGTGGAATACAGGCCGTCAGTCCAGGCGATTAGGGGCTGTCTGAAGTATTCCGTCATTGAGCTTACGTTGTCCCTTTTTACATTTGCCCTCTTCGTCAACAGCGCCATTCTCATAGTTGCTGGTGCTTCCCTGTACGGAACGTCGGGAGCCGATGAAGCAGATCTCTGGGGCATTTACAATCTTCTCTCCAGCTCCATTGCTCCGGCTGCAGGTCTTATCTTTGCACTGGCCCTACTTCTCTCAGGTATCTCGGCCGGGATTGTCTGTACCATGGCTGGGCAAATGGTCAGCGAGGGAATGCTGAACTGGAGCATCAGACCTTGGCTTCGGCGACTGGTCACGCGATCTATCAGTATCATCCCTAGCATAATCATTGCAGCTGCTGTCGGCAAGGAGGGATTGAACAAAACTCTCAACGCCAGTCAAGTGGTATTGAGTGTCATCCTTCCGTTTGTCACCGCTCCTCTAGTTTACTTTACGTGCCGCAACCGTTACATGACCGTCCCTACGGACAGAAACTTCACTGGCGAGGATACCTCGGCTGACGGAGTCAAGATGAGAAACAACTGGCTTGTTACTGCCATCGCTGTCATTGTTTGGGTAATCATTGCGGTCATGAACGTTGCTTTGCTCGTCCTTGTTGGGCTCGGCAAAGCCTGAGAGTGAGAAACGCATGGAACGCCGAATCCAGGGAACAACATCTTTTCGGAAGGAAGTTTCGCTGGAACGTGCAAGCCGTGTGGCTCAGAATAGTGGACACATAGTAAGATACACTCCGAAGATGCAGACACATAGGGGACGGGAGAGTGCAGAAAGAACATAGATAATAAAGCTCGTAGAATGAACACAGCTTAGTCGACCAATTTAAGGGGAAGAAAAAGAGAACAAGAAAAATCCAAACTCCGATGCCACCATGATCTGAACTCCTAAACGCTATTCTCGTAAAACATGTAATCCTAACCCAACCCACTAGCAGGCTCCTTAACCTTAGTCTGCTCCGGGGGCTCATCAATGAACTGCGGCGGCGCCACCTCATCTTGCAGGAAGCTAGGCATAGCACTATCAGCCATCGAGCTCTCCATCATAGTCTCCTCGCCTAGCGCCTCCAATTCCGCATCGAGTTCCGCCTCATCGACATCCTCGGGAACGTCATACGCCCGCGATATACTTTCCTGGATTTCGTTCCCCACGTCCATCAAATCCGCCATCTCATCCTGCAGCCGTTCAATCTTATCAATATCAATCTGACCATACTGCTTCTTAAGGGTCTTGGTCGTCGTCTTCATAGCATCAACCGTCGTCATCACATTCTTCAAATTATCCTGCATCATGCCCGCCTGCTCCATATTCCATGACTGCTGCGACAGCTGATCCCGCTGCGCTTCGTACTGTTTCCGCCGCTGGAGAACCTTGAGGGCTTTCTGCCGTAACGCGGTTTTTCCCGGCCCGTCGCGCATCTTGGAGATCTTGGTTTGATAGGTAGATAGTTCCGAGTTGAGAGCCGCCAGCTTGACGTCAATGCTGGAAATGCGTGTTTCCACCTGTCGGGGAAATGTTAATCATGCGGGGTCAGGCGGATAAGGGACGAGATGAATTCGGAGAGTTGGGCAACAATGATGAATGACGAAGGTTGGAAGGGAAAGGGGAAACGTACATTGGTTATGGCCCCATCTAGCGTTGGCTTGGGTGCCGTGTTCTTCGTACCGAATAGCCGATTCATTTTGGCTGGCTAGGTGTGAGGATTGGAAGTGAACTCTTGTGGCAAGCTTGAGGTCTTGAACAGGCGCCGAACTGGGGGGTAGATATGGTCTGGTTGGTCTTAGCGGCCGCGGCCTCGCCGCCTTGGAGATACCGGTCGGGAGTATAGAGCTGTGTCGGGTGTTTCTGTGAGTTGGGACTTTGCGCAAACGAAGTCTTCAGAGATCGCAAGAGACGAGACTGATAGTGAGCGCCAGTGAGGATGTGAGTAGTCCAGTAATAATTTCAACTATTAGAATAGAATATGGAGTAGCGGGGGTGGATGTTATCAGTTGCGCTCGAGACGAAGCTTAGGCTGCTACCTAGAATTGCCCCCACGTGATGGGGTATAATACAGTAAGATGTGGTAATATCCTGAAGGTACGGCTATGTGCCGTTCTGGTTAAATTGGTCAGTGTAATCTGGCGAGTGAATTCTTTAGCTGACAGATATGATTGCTCTGCCGTAGGAGAAATATAATCCCAGGCTGTAACCTGAATTGTCCTGATGATCAGATCCAGACTGACTCGGTTTGTCCCCTCACCTGGTCCGAGGCAGATGAACCGGAGCGACGGAGTATGGGGTATCTCTCTAGTGACTGCAAGGCTAATTTGCTTACTGCCCCCCGAGTCTAACCTAGTAAGCACACGCCTGCTCAACCAAGTCCCCGGGTGAATCTTTATGTGCTTGTTAGCATGGCCAGGCTGAATTATGACACCACGATTCACAAAGGTAAGATGAAAATCATATGGCATTGATGATAAGGTAGGCAGTCCTATTGTAAGAAAGTGACGGTAAGATACCGCCCAGTCCTCCCCCCCCC